ACACAGACAAATTAATGCATCCCAAAAAGTACATACCGAAAAAAGATGACGTCCAACGATTTCTGACTGAATGCGCCGCGTAAATTTGCCATTTGATCAAACTCATAGGCGAATAGGATAACGTGAAATTCAATGATTTGACACTGTTATTAATCGCATGGTAGTCACTGGCCAAGTTCCAGAAATCGTTGAAAAAAAATATCGGATAATAGTCACCGGAAATTGGGTCGAATTTCAGCGCTTCGTCGAGGGGCGGTGGAAGAGTGCCTGAAAATCAGCAATACAACCAGGTGTACATCATCTCAGTTTTGGTCTCGATGACGGAGAGCAGCATCGAACGGTTCGTTTACCTTGCACCCACGCTGTATGATCATCGATCAAATTGATGGTGAGGTTCGGATGCCAGTGGGACAGGATTTCGTGCGTTATCGTTTCTGCTTTGACAACCTCTTCGGGACTGGCTTCAGTTTTGCCGGTAAGCAAATTCTGCGTTTTCTGGTAGCGCTTCCTTTTGTACTTATTCAGCATGCGATGGTGATGCATTGTGTAGCGTTTTAAGTACGTGGCGTCTGAAGGATCCGGCGAGTGGCCTGCCTTAGTGATGAATACGTGGATAAAAATCGACCCGTTGTTCCTGACTGACTCAGGACATGATATTTGACCGGAGTGGGTATACGTTCCGTAGTTATCGTCACCTCCAGTCCAGGCGCCGTACGGCACGCGCTGTAGGCGCCAGAACAACGTGTCAGGGTCAAAGCTGTGAAACACCTCTGCCTCGCTGATGTACACATAGAAGTCGAGCAGGGTGCCACGGGTGATCATGTTGTGCGAAGAAACGGCTGACTGACCTGAACCACCGCCGCCCGTCTTCGAAGTCGGTGACGATGCCGGCTGTCGCCAACCTCGGAAGAATGACAGCACGGCGTACATAATGAAAAGTCGCAACAAGAACTGTTTTACAACAGACCACGTGTTGACAGGCGTTGCTGCCGCAGGCTGCTGCTGGTCAGGCTGTTGAACGGGAACTTCAGCTGGCAGTGCAGCCATCTCCATTCTTCAACGTTTCTTAAAAACAATTAATTAAAAGCAGTTAAATATTATAAAAACAATCCGTAATATGATTCACACAAACCATAAGTGTGATGACAGACACTTAGCGATAAGGGGTTACAAATTGGAAGCCAGAATATATGATAGAAGGTGCTTAAATAAAACACATAATGGGAGTCACCCCATGTTTAGGAAAGTGATTCGTTAAGGATCCAATTTTAGAACAACGATGTTCTAAACGATTCTCGAACCTGTTGCAAAAAATCGAACACAGAGCAAGATGAAGGAAGCTGAAGAAAGCGGAATATTAAACTCAGCTTGGCGGTGCTACTACCCCATAGTACTGATAAGTACATCAGTGAATATCATGAACATCAGCTTCACATCATAAATCTACCTATCCATAAACTGTTCGTGTAGAATTTACACTAAACTTTTCAAAACCAAATCGCCAACCCTATTACAACTACGACTCCTCATCTAGACTTGAGAAATGTCTCAAAGTTTCACTTTCCCCAGATCAGCTTCCTAGGGTTTTCATAAGATATGTTTAAAATACTTTTCCTATCTGTCCCAGATGCGACGAAAATAAGGTATTAAACTTCCTCAATAGGCCATTGCTTTAAATCATCTACTTAACCGTTGAAAGAGAAAATAATTCCAGCTTATTTCTTTATGCTTTAATAATTAACTCTGGTAACTGCAAACCGCAAACCTAC